TTGTGCTTTGGGTTCTCTGTGCTCCAGTGCAATCTTCAGAAACTGAAGAAAATTAAACCAAATCCACGGGAACCAAAATATGACTTTGAGTTCATCCCACCTGAATTTCAGAACCATCTCAGGAACAGGTTTGAGGCCTTGAACACTAATGAGTGAAGACCTAATGAGTTGTGGAAGGATTTCAAATATATCATCCAGGAAGAGTGCAAACAGTTATTAGAAAGACAGAAGAGAAAAAAAAGGCCAAAATGGATGTCAGGAGAAGCTCTGAATAATAGTCTACCATAGTGATATTCCAAAGTATACTTAACTATTTCCTTATAGATTATGATTTAGGATGTTATCAGTTTTACTGAAGCAGTATATGTCTCTGATATGGGAATGATGAGTGGTGGAAAAAGCTATAATATTGTTCAAAGAATATTTTCCTGAACTCATTCTTGTGCATTAGACTTTTTCTAGTGATGCATTAAACTGTTTTTCTCTCAGTTGTTTTTTTTTTTAAATGTTATGTGACCTTTATGGCAATTACTAATGTAGTAAGTATCTTAATATATTTATGCATGAGAAGTAAAATGAAATAGAACATCCTTGTAATTATACCGCATAATTGGTAGTATAATTGCTTTCAATTTCAGAACTGAGGCCACAATACTTCTTGACATTTATTATAATTTATTATAATTTTCAATCATGAAAAATGTTATGAAAAGTTCTTCAAGTTGTGTTGTTTCTCCCTTCAAAGCCTCATCTCAAACCCAACCAGAGTTCTGTTTTCTTTACAAGTTATTAGATGTAGATGCACACAGTGACCCAATGTTCAGCGAGACACTGCTCCATCCTACCTCAGAGACATCATCGCTCTGTTTGAACCTATCGCTGTAGTCACTGTTAATCTTTCTCATTGGGGGTCATCCTCTTTTTTCACTAACTCATTTACCAAGCATAATGTCCTTCTCCAGAGACAGGGCCCTCCTGATAACATGTCTAAAGTATTTAAGACAAAGTCTTCTCATCTTCTTTTCCAGAGAATCCTGACTGTACTTCATCCAAGACATATTTCTTCATTGTTCTGGTAGGTAGTCCACAGTATATTCAATATTTTTTACTAACATTATAATTCAAAGGTATCTATTGTTCTGTCTTCTTATTCACTGACTGACTTGCACAGCAGATGAAGTCATTGACAGCACCATAGCTTGAGTTAGGCTCACCTTAGTTCTCAAAGTGGCTTTTGAACACTTTATTTAAAGGGGGCTTTTTCAGCCCATTTGCCCAATGAAATAGGTCATTTGATTTCCTGACTGATGCTTCCATGAGCATTGACTGTGGACCTAATGAAAATGAAGCTGCTGACAACTTCAACCTTATCCACTTGTGGGGACTTTGGCTTTCTTTACATTGAGGTGGAATCCTTACACAGGGCTCCAGTTTTTTAAAGATTTCTTCACAGAGACTTCCCTAATTGCTTCTAATTAACAACCAGCTTTTATGTATTTTTCCTTGCCTTACACTTTTGAGAAATATTCCTGAAATTCTTTACCACTTCATCAGGTGCAATTTATGGCACTACTGAAGTGATTAATCTAGTTTGTGCCTCCTCTCCTCAAACTCATTTTCAACTTCTGGGGAGGAAATGTGCAGTTTGAGTTCAGGTTCGAGAGTCAAATGAACTTGGTTCCTACCATTACAGATATAGGACTTAAGGTATTGTTGTTAGTGATCTGTTCTGATTTAAGGGGACTTCATGTACAATGAAATGAAACATCGTCCAGTCTGCATCATCTTTAGGATAGTATTTCTGAACCCACTCTTGAGGTCACTATATATTTTTAGTATCTTCTAGTTAGGGGGACTCAAATTTAAATGTTGCTATTGCTGTGTACTGTAGAGTCAGAACCAAACCATACCTGACCCTCCAGTAAGTTTTCAGAGGCAGTTAATTGCATGGGAGGAGATTGCCCATCCTTCTTCTCTGGAGCAGTTGGTGGCCTTGAACTGTGTGCCTTTGGGATTGCAGTGCAGCTTCTTGTCGCTAGGCCACAAGAGCTCCCCTTAAATTGCAATACTACTTCAAATTCTGTTGCGATCCATTGGATTTCTAGTGGTCAATAATTGGAACTAGATTGCCAGGCCTTTCTTCCTAGTTTACCTTAGTCTAGAAGCTCCACTGTGACCTGTAAATGATAGAGTCATTCTTTGATGCTATTTTTAAATACCTGTGGCTTAGCTTCCAGTACCATAATGGCACGCAAGTCACCATATTACAACAAACTGACTTGGTAAGTTTGAGTCGTGGATTGCCTAGAAAGAGGTAAATTGTTTACCTTTCTCTTCCCTAATATAGAGTGTGTTAAACAGACCTAACAATGTTATATTTCATCAATTTTAGAATGTACAATTTTCCCCACTTCAATATATCTGAAATCAGAATGCATCCTTCTATAAGCGGCATATAAAGATTTGTTTAGCAGGATATTTTTCTTTTTTATTTAGTACCAAACATAATGGGACACATATTTGTCTATATAGCTATATCTATCTAATCTAAAAGTCTTTGGATGGCATAAGCAGTTTGCACTAGGGACACTAACCTGAAGGTTGGCAGTCTGAGCCTAGCCAGCAGGTCCATGGATATAAGACCAAATGTTTTCTGTGTGGATTAGAGCCAAGTAAAGTCTATGGAATCATCCTACTCTTTAACACATGCAGTTGCATCAGTTGAAATTGTTTTGAGACAGTGCGCTATTATAATTTGATGAAATATGTTTGACCGTATAGATTACAATAAACTGTGGTTGATTCTGAGAAGAATGGGAATCCCAGGACACTTGATTGTGCTTACGCAAAACCTGTATTTGGAACAGGAGGCAGTCGTCAGAGCAGAGCAAGGAAACACTGAATGGTTCAAAATTCGGAAGGGTGTACGACAGGGATGTTTTCTATCTTCATGCCTTTTCAACCTATGTGAGGAACAGATTATCCAGGAAGCTGGGCTGTGTGAGAAGTATGGCATCAGGAGTGAAAGAAGATTCATCAACAATCTGTGTTATCCAGTTGACATAACCCTGCTTGCTGAAACTGAGAAGGACCTGAAGCACTTGCTGCAGAAGGTCAAGGACTACAGCCTTCAATATGAATTGAGGCTCAATATCAAGAAAACAAAGATTCTCACCACTGGGCCAATTGGCAGCATCAGAATGAATGTTGAAGAGATTGAGATTGTTAACAGCTTTACTTTGTTTGGCTCCACAAGCAACACTCTTGGCACCAGCAGCCAGGAAATTAGAAGACTAATTGCAATGGGAAACTCTGCTGTCAGAGACCTTTCCAAAGTACTGAAGAGCAATGATGTCAGTCTGGAGACTGACTAAAGTGTGCCTTATACAGGCCATGGTCTTTGCAATCACTTGTTATGCATCAGAGAGTTGGACAATGACTAGGGAGGATAGAAGGAGAATTGATGCCTTTGAGCTGTGGTGCTGGAGAAGAGTATTGAATGTACCATGGACTGCCAAGAAAACAAACAGATTCATCCTGGAGAGGGTTAAACCAGGCTGTTCATTGGAGGCAAGGATTCTGAAGCTTCATCTTACCTACTTACCTACTTAGACATGTTGCAAGGCAGGATCAGTCCTTGGAGAGGGACATCATGCTTGAGAGGATGGAGGGACAGTACAGGAGAGGAAGACCCTTGATGGTTCTTCAGTGGGGTATTGGGAGTAGGTGTATCAGACACAGTAAGACACAGTAAGATTGGCACAGGATAGAGCAGGGTTTAGGGCTGTAGAACATAGGGTCCCTATGAGTTACAGGCAACTCGATGGCACATAACAACAAATGTTCATGTCTACCTCATGGTGAAGTTGTAAGGATAACTGAGATTTAAAAAAAAATCAAAACAACTATGCGATATCATCTCACTCCAGTAAGAATAACAAAATTTAACAGAACAGCAAGCAACAAATGCTGTTGAGGTTGTGGAGAAACTGGAACCCTTATTCACTGTTGATGGAAGTGTAAAATGGTGCAACCACTGTGGAAAGTGGTGTGGCACTTTTTCAAAAAGTTGCATATAGAGATACCATTTGACCCAGCAACTCCACTACTGGCAATGTACCCTAAAGAGACCATAACTGACATCCAAGCAGATATATGCACATCCATGCTCATTGCAGCTTTGTTCACAATAGCTAGGGGTTGGAAACAACCTAAGTGTCCATCAACAAATGAATGGATAGAGAAGCTGTGGTATATTCACACAATGGAATACTATGCTGCATTGAAAAACAAGGAACTCATGCAATATTATTCAAAATGGGTGAGCCTGGAGGACATTATGCTGAGTGAAGTATCTCAGCCACAAAAGGACAAATACTGCATGGTGCCACTGTTGTAGAAAGTGACTGACATCAGGGTTGGGGTAAGACTGAGAAAAACTGGATAGATTATGTATACTGCATTGAAACAGATGAGGAAGAGAACAGTTTAAAATGATGTATAATAGCATATTATGATTATCACAGGAATCCAGAATTAAGCATAATGGAGTGCTTTTGGGGTAGGGGGGCAGGGTTGGGCCAGGGGGATTGTATACCAACACAGAAGTTTATCTTTTGCTTTTCAAAGAGAGGAGTGAACTGAGGGAGGGACTAAAGAAAAAAGTGCAACAATGAATGAATGAAAATCCAAAATTTCTGTAAATGTTCATTAAAATTAATAAAATAATTTTTTTTAAAACAACCATAAAATATAGCACCTGGCACAAGTCTAACACACAATATGAGTTAGCAATTATTGTGTCTCTTCACTCTGAGGTCCCCAACAGAGCCTTCAAAAGGCCGTAAATGCTTGTCCGTTGGTTAAATGATCATATCATAGTGGGAATGACTAGGTGATCGTTATATCACATTCAAACTAAGATAAACACTCCAAGGCCTCTCAGAAATTAAAAGAAGTGTGGTGCCACCAGAACAGAGCAGGCTTCTTGTGCTACTCACCTGGCTTTGTGATGGGTACCTGAAGTCGCTTCCCACCATCCGAGTCCTCCACGCCTTGGGCTGCGATGGAATAGGGCCGGCTGGCTTTGTTCTTAAATATGATCAGGATGGAATCGCCCACCTCTGCGTGAATCATAGGACCTAGAGGCAAAACACAGGTCTGTGTGCATTACCGATGTTCTTCCCAATAATTACGTATCTCTCTGTGTATTTGACAAAATCAAAGAAAGCTTAGCTGCGTCTTCAGTGCACTTCCTTTAGAGGGCGATAATGTATAGTATTTAATGTCACTCACTCCTGGTCTTTAAATTGAACCTGACTCACAGCTAGTCCTCCAGAGGGTTTTCAAACACTCCAACTGACATGGGAAGGGATTGCTTATCTTTTTCTAGCAGAGCAGCAGATGGATTTGAACCGCTTGCCTCTGCTTTGACAGCACCAGTCTTTATCCACCAGGTCACCAAGTAATATTGAATGTTGTGCAGTATTTGGCAACTGGACCACCAGGTTCAAATCCCATCTCTTTCAGTTATTAGAAGTTACATAATCTGTCTCAATTTCTCTAGGTGAGTTTCAACCATAGCACCTCTCTCTCTTTTTTTTTTATGTTCCACAGTTTCCTTTATTCACATTGTGTTTCATACAGTCATTCTCATACATTGCATTTTATAAAATTAATCACTATTGATCTATGCCAACCCCATCTTTTCAGGTCCCCATTGGATCATTCCCATTTCCTTCAGAGAAAGTTCCCTTTAAGGATGTTCACCAAAGAAACACCACTCATTGATCTGTTTGCCATACATACTTTGGTGGTTTGTATATTACTGGGAAACTATGGCTCTGGTATTTAATATACCAGCAGGATCATTCATGGTAGACAGGTGTGAGTGGAGTTTCCCAAGGGAGAGAGACTAAGAAGCATGACTGGTGACTGGTCATTGACTTCTGAAATAATGAACTTCTGAAAATTTTATTAATAAATGGGAACATTGTCTAATATACTGCTGGAAGATGCACAAACTACATAGTTAACATAGCACCTCTCTTATAGTATTGATTGCATTAAGGAAGAGATAAAGTCTCTCTCTGTCCCTGTTTCTCTCTCATTGCCATGGAGTCAGAATCAACTCATAGCTGAGCCTCCATTGGGTATCAGACGCTGTTAATGGCACAGAAAGAGACAGCCCATCTTTTTCCTGTGGAACCACTGGTGGATTCAACTGTCAGAGAGACAAGGCATTCAGGTTAACAATGCAACTCCCTATGTGAGTGACTGTGCCACTAGGGGGTCCCTTTGTAATACAAGTCTTTAATAACTCTCACCACTGAGAGACAGCTATATCCAATGATGTGGCAATTTTTCATTTTCATCTACTTGTGCTTAACTTTGTTGAAATAGTGTTGCATAAGATATTTGTCTTTTTGAGATTGACTTCTTTCTTCCCTACAGAGCTCTAGGGGTACAGTCCACAGAGTACCTGCTACCCCAAAGACCACGCCTTTCTGGCGGTTGGAATCTACCATTAGTTCCAAGGGAGAAAGATGGACAATATCTTCTCATGCGATTTACAGTCTCTGAAAGCCCGCTGGAGGGTCAGCTATGAGTCGTTCTGATTTTCTGGAGATAAGAATTTTACATTTATTCCAAGGAAGCTTGGTGGTGTATTGATTGAACTCTCAGCTGCTAACTGATAGCTTGACCCTTCAAATTCACCATCTGCTCTAAGAGAAAGATGACCTGGGAGTCTGCTGCCAGAGACTCCAGCCTTGGAAACCTCATAGGGAAAATCTACTCTATCTCAGAGGGCCTCTGTGGGTCAGAACCAACTCAATTGCAATGGATAAATGGGGTTGCATCCATTCCAATTTCCCAAGTCAACCTTGGTACATGGTGAGCCCATGTGTTTGTCTGAGGAGAACTACTCCTAAGGATTTCCAATGACTGATTTTTTTAAAAGAAATATATCACCACACTTATCTTCAGAAATGCCTTCAGTTTGAACCACCAAACATTCAGCAAAAGGGTAAGTGCTTAACTGTTTATGCCAAAAGTTAGAAGGGAGTTGTGGTTGCCTAGTGGGTAAGGAGTCATCCTGCCAACAGAAAGACAAGTAGTTCAAATCCACCAGCTGCTCTTCGGGAAAAATGGACAGTCTCCTCCCCTGTGATTTATAGCCTCTGAAAACCCACTGGAGGGTCAGCTCTGACTCAATTCCAACTCAGTGGTGTGTAAAAACATGAGTTGAAATCAAGTCAATAACAATGAACAACAGCATTGTAGTCTTTAAAAGAGCATGAATGATGCTATTTCGGAACATGATAAAGATAGAAAAGAGCACAATATTCCTGTTTTTAATAGTAAATTAGAATTTCAGATAGATACATAAGTATGCATATTTAAAAACTATCTTTTTAATACATCACAATCATGTGCTCACTACAGCTTAAACTGTGCTCACTTGGTTGTGTAGCACAGGAAATGCCTTCTGATTGACCGCACTCTAGTCACAAGGGTGATAATGAACTGAAGTGTGGCTGCATTGCAGCCTTAGAACAGCTTCACTGCCCCTCCCTGAGCGGCTGTAAGGGAGCAATGGGGCTCAAGCCTTCAGGGGTCTAGAGCTGTTGGGCTTTGCCTCTGGTGAAGTCACTCTGTCTGTATCATTTTACTAAGCAGACCCAAACCAGGCCTCTTTACGGGGAAGCATAAGCCCTCAGCAGTATCCCCTCCTCTGAGCTCTGACCACACACACGTCCACACTCAGGTGTGTGAGAGCACACACGCTCCAGGGAAGTGACTGTCAGCTCAGATCACCCAAACAGCAAGGCTCACGTATATTGTAGTGAACAATTTTGCATTTTTTCGCCACATTAAAGATTCTCCTTTTAGAGGCAGCTGGCACCTGAATCCCTCCCAACCCCACCCTCCTGCAGAATCAAAGATTCTCTGCAAATTTACAATCCCAGACAGAGATGAAGCACCTTATGTGTGCACTGCATGTAGAGATTAGAAGTAAATTAGCACAAGAAAGTCTGTGCTGCCTTGGCTTAATGCATTCATCTATCCAGTGGTTCCCATGGGACTGAATCATCTGATGAAACAACCAGCCTCTGGTGCCAATGTTAAAAGGCTGGAGAGATCCAGGGGAGGGTGAGTGGACGAAACACTTAATATCTTTTCAAAGTAAGAATCAGGCGTCTTATTTTAATATTAAAACATTTTAAATTTATATTATTTATATGTTAAATTGTTCATTTAAAAGGGGGAAAGGATTTTAAAAAGTCAACTGCATTGTGTGTATGTGTGTGTCTGTGTGTGTGTCTGTGTGTGTATGTTTTGGTGAGCCAACTCATAGGTGACCTTCTAAAAGGCTTATAGAAGGTAAAAATTACATGGAAGGAGATCACTCATCTTTCTTCCACAGAGCAGCTAGTGGAGACAAACCACTTGCCTTTGGGTTGGCAACAGAGCTAGGCAACCAGAGCTCCAAAGAAAGTATGCACACCCATGTTTATTACTGTGTTACTCACAATAGCAAAGAGCTAGAAGCAACTCAAGTGCCCATCAACAAATGAATGGATAGAAAAAGGATGGTACATTCACACAATGGGATATTATATCAGCACTGAAAAACAAGGAACTCATAAAATATTACACAACATGGGTGACCCTTGAGTACCTTATGCTGAGTGAAATGTCTCAGTCACAAAAGGACAAATACTGCATAACACCACTGTTATAAAATAAAACTGACATGTGGGTTGGGGGAGGAAACTAAGAGGGGATAAATAATGAACACTGCGTTGGAACAGATAAAGGAAAGAACTATTTATAAGGAATATATGATTAGGCATTATATGTATGACAATAGCCCAGAATAAGAGGTACATTGCAAAGAGGACTGGTGGGAGTGGAAAGGGGGAGAGGTAGGTAATTGTGCAACAATGAGTAAATTTTTTTTTTCAAAGTGAACTGGGGGAGGGAGAAGTGAAGGAGTATAATGCAACAAAGCATGAATGAAAATCTAACCTTTCTGTAAACTTTTGTTGAAATCACAATTAAAATTAAAAAAAATAAAAAACAGATGAGGGAGAGAACTGTTTAAAAGAGATATATGATTAGGTGTTATTGTGGCATATTATATATGACTGGAGTCCAGAATGAAGGCAGCATAGTGGAGTGACCTGGAGGGAGGGATTGTATAACAATGAAAGAATTTTTCTTTTACTTTTCAAAGAGAAGAGTGAATTGGGGGTTAGAGGTGGGCAGGGATTAAAGTGCAACAATGAATGAATGGAAATCCAAAGTTTCCATAAACTTTCATTAATTTTAAAAAGAAATTATACACAAATAAATAATAGGTTGGGGTGGGTTTTGTGTTGGGCTGTTTTGTTTTGTTTTTAAAGTATCTTCTTGATGAAGAATTCAGGTAAATTCCAGGTGAAGAATTCAAGGAAAACTGGAAGTGGTTGTCAGGTCCCAGGTCAGGCAGCTCAGGGCTCCACAAGCCCGAGGCTGTATGAAGGCAGGTTCAGTGGGTTCTGAGATGGGATAAGGGCATTCTGAGTTGAAGTCAGCCAAACATTTGGGCCTTGAAAACCCTCTTGTAGAAGCTTTTTTTTCCTTTTCTCATAGATTTTTTCCTCCGCCCCTCTAAATTTTATACTGATATATTTACAAAGTTTGAATATATTGTTTTTCACAAAACATCTTTTCCATTTCTTCACCCCACCCACCTGTCGAATTTCACAACCCTATGATTAACACCCTATATCCCCACTCATTCTCACCCCTCTCTTATAGATCTCTTGATAGGGATAAATTCTGTGCACTTAATCTGAGGCCCTGAAGAATTTATGAAAACATCCTGCCTGCAAATCTGAGACAGTAAGGTGTTTCTAATTAAAATTTCCTAGCTTCAGCTGAGGCGGGCGGGGATGAACTGAATGCTGCAAAAAGACCATCAGAATAACAATTGGTTAAACGATTCTGATGATATAGATTCCTGTCTGTGTGCTGTCTGAGTCTTATTATGACTTCAATTTGGAATGAGGAGTCCTTGGGTTAGCCCAACTGCTAACCAAAACACTGGAGGTTCGAGGTTCAAGTTTTCCCAGAGGGTCCTTGTTCTACCTTTGTTCTACTATGGGTTGTGGGGTTTTTTTCCTTCTTTTTTTTTTAATTAAATTTTATTAATTTTAATGAACATTTACAGAGATTTTGGGCTTCCATTCATTCATTGTTGCACTATTTTCTCTACCCTCTCCCCCCAGTTCGTTCCTCTTCCCCCCCTTCGAAGATCTGTTTTAATTGTCTATGGGTTTTTTTTCTGTCATTGAGTCAACTCATAACTGACCCCCCAGCAGGTTTCCAGGGGCTGTAAATTGCAAAGGTGGAGATTGTCCTTTCTCTCACAGAACTTCTGGTCTAAACCACCTGCCTTTGGATTGACAACACAACTCCTTACCCACTAGGGCACCAAACCCTGACCACTGGTCTACTTCCAAAAAGTCAGCCATTGAAAACCCTGTGGGTGCATTTCCACTCTGCAGCACAGAATCACCACGAGTGGCACCTGCTGTGAGCTGAACACACAGCATGCTCTCTGGTAACAAGGGCAGAGAGACTGCGAACTGCAGCCAGGCTCTTTGGTCCCTCCCATCCAGTCCCAGGACTCCCCAGGGGATGCTCTAAGGGGAGGGGAGTGGGACGCCCACCAATGGCACCTGAGCTTACCCAGAAGTTCTAAGTGCTGCTCTCTTGGCCGACGGGCTTTGATCTCCACAAACTCCCCATTGGTGTATTCCCTGTAAACCACCTTCTTGTACTGAGAGCCAATCCAATTGTCAGTGTGGTTCATAAATATATCTCCATGTCTGCAAATGAGAAGCACAGGAAATCAAAGTTGGAAATTCAAGGAGGGAGACCTTGCACACACTGAATGATTCAAAGGTATATGCCAGCTCATTATTTTTTTCTAAACCAAAAAGCTTCACTGTCGTGGAGTCCATTCTGACTCCAGCAACCTTGTACACAGGCTGCCTCAGCTTTCTCCTGCAGTGGCTGGCTGGGGGTTGATTGCTGATCTTCCGCTTAGTAGCTGATCACTTAACCACTGTGCCACCAGAGCTCTTCTTTCCTTTTGTGGTGTTGTTATGTACCCTCGAGTCAGAACTGACCCATAGCTGATGCTCCGGACAATTTTCATAGGCAGTTTAATCATATGGTAGAAGATTGCCCATCTCTCAGAGCAGCTGGTGGATTCAAACCTAGTTCCTTCGGGTTGGCAGTGTAACTCCTTGTAGAGCTTCCCAAACCAGGTTGTGATCAGGCTCTCACTGGGGAGCTAACATTTGCACCCTCCTCCTCTGGGAGGGGAGTAAGGAACCTGCATATTAAAACTTACTACTACCTGGGTTTAACACTGACAACATGCATAAGCATATACGTGCATGCACACACACACTCCCTACACCCTTCATCAACCTGAATTTCCCACATTTCACGTGCATCTTTCTGTACCTTGTTACCCTTACATTTTTAAATATCTCATGAAAACCCGTGAGTTGCATATCATGTAAATAAATATCCGTGTGCAAATACACATATATGAAATATGTATATTTAATCTACCTCTGAGTCCTTGCACCTTTATCTCCTAAATAGCATGTCTCATGTCCTCCGTTTCCCTCTATTAAATCTCCTGCTCCCTAATCACAGCCACCTGCATTGTTTAACTAAATTACTTGGATTTGTTTATTTTCTTTCTTTTTTTTTAAGAATTACTTGGATTTGTTTCTAATTGGCCTCCTGCCCACTTATACTCCCTTCTGTCTGCTATGGGTCGGTTCCGACTCTATGGTATATAAAAACAACAACATCTATTACTTAGATGCAGGCAGAATGATCCTAAATTATTCATTTAACAAACTTAGTCGTTATACCAAATCCTCTTCTGGTTTCCACACTTAAACTCCTTGCTCTGTCACTCGAGCCTCCTCATTACCTGCCTTTGTCAATACCCCCATTTCCCATCAATGCTCCCTACACACTATTCACTCAGGTCATTTAAACACACTCTCTTGAATACAGTGTGCTTGTTCTCAACTTCATCTTTTACATATGCTGTTCCCTTCATCCAGAATTCTCTTACCTCCTCTTCAACTGGTCTGCTCTGTCTCAACTTAAAGACCACTTCCTCCAGGAAGCCTTCTTGACTACCTACCTCACCGCATCCTTCCCCTAGACTAGCTATGTGCTTATGTCCCCATCACAGGGAGCTTTGGTGGCTAAGCAGTTGCATTCCGAGTGCAAAGGCAAGTGGTTCGAAGCCAGCAGCTGTCCTGCAGGAGAAAGATAGGCAATCTCCTAAGATGGGATTTACTGTCTCTGAAAACCTGCTGGAGTGTCAACTAAGGGTTGGTTTCAGTGCCATGTGCCTCACCACACTCAGTACACTTGCTCTAACACCTTCCTCGCTGACCATACACTTAATCTGTGCTTCTTGGCACAGTTTTATCAGTATTTTGCACAAAGTCTAGTAGTAGCAGATATCACATATCTTCGAATGTGCCTACAGACACCTTCTACCCTAGACACTATGTTTTCCCAGGGAGGGGAGGTTTTTCTTCTGCTTTTATTTTCCAGGACTGCTGATAGTAAGTGTACTGGTGAGGAACACAGACCCTAAAGCTATGCTGTACTCCCCCTGCCCCCACTTTTCTTCCTCTAACGGGTGCTCAATAAACATGAATCTACCGCACTGGAATGCTGTGGGCACTAAATAAGTAATAGCTACCAAGCTCTGTGTCAGTCACATGTTAGCATTCTTCAAGTGTCTGCTTTATATCCTATAGGCTGCTGCTGTGAGGTGCTGGGCATTAGCTGACGGCACAAGTCAGTTCTAACTCATGGTCAGTTCTGTGTTAGGGACCACAACTGAGTTCCCCAGAGCTTCCTTGGCTCTGACTTTTAGGGAAGCAGATCATCAAGGCCTTTCTCCTGCAGTGTTGCAAATCATTTGCACTGATCCATAACCTCATGTCAGATAAGGATTGCAAGGGCCCCTAGTAAAATGCTGGTGGTTAGCCCAAAACACTAACACCCACCACTGATTCCAACTCTCCACTGGGTTTCTGAGACTGTAAATTTTTGGAGGAGTAGACTGCCCACCTCCCTGCAGCAAAGATGGTGGATCTACACTATGCACTATGCCACCAGGGTTCCTTGATGCCCACTAGATGGCAGTTACATTCACAAATCCAGGATGGTTGTGTTATAGGAACATCAGTCCACAAGTACAGGAGTATTAAGAATGCAGCAACTTAAATGTTGTATTCAACAACACCCCATCACACACATTCCTGCCTGGCCTTGTGCAGAGGGCCCTATGTGTTGTCTTTGAAACCCCAAGACTTCCCAGTTCCTTCTTATGAGGCTTCAGAGAAGATTTCTAGTTTCCTAGGGTGGGACAGGGGTCTGTCTTGACCATAACAACAATGTCTCAGGGATTACTGTACTGAGATGGCCGTGGGGGAGGCCAGGGGCACAGCAGCAAGCCTATATCCCAGGCTCCTATAAGCAAAGGATCTGCAAGTAATCCACCGCACAAACTTGGAATGTGAATTCAGTAATAATTTTTTATTTATAGAATGTGCTGTGTTTTGAGGGAGCTGGTAATCCATAGGCCATACTTCTCTGGTGGGTTGAATCCACCACCTGCTCCAATGGAGAAAGATGAATAATCTCTTCCGGTGTGATTACAACTTTGGGAAACCAGTTAGAAGGTCAACTATGAATTGGTTCTAAATGGACAGCAGTAAGATTGAATGACTTATATTGCCTGTACCACAATAATATAAAGCTATTAGTTCTTTAGTTATAATAGCCTGTCATTTTAAAAATGAAACAATCATTTTAGAAAAGGCCATGCTAGTATACATTTTCTTTTCAACTGTACTGGCTTTGCTAGTAGTGAGAAGTAGTTTTGCCAGAGAGGGGAGTCTGGTTTAGCAAACAGACTGGTGAATGACTGAATGAATTTTAAATCTGCCTGTCCTGGGAGCCACTGGGTGGTGCATATGGTTAGCCTGCTTGGTTGTTAAATGACTAGTGCTGAAAAGCAAAGAAGAACCTGGAGTGGTAATGCATAAGTCTTTCTCCAATGAGTAAGTGTGATTTAAAAGAGTGGGGCAATTATACAAAATAAATTAATTCCATCCTAAGTCTGCTGCTGATCATGTGCACAACCTTAACTATTTACCTACAGTTTCTCATCTGAATATCGGGACAATAATACCCAAGTATCAAGTTCTGGGGAAAGGGTCTTTAGGTTTGCATCTGACAGATGCCTCTATTCCCTTTCCCCCCACTGTTTACCTTTACAACATTGTGGGAGCCAACATTGGGTGCCCAGTAGTCTGTCTCTGAGCAGGGAGAGGAGGACCTCTGGTGTTCACAGACACCTTTGTGATGGGACACTGCTCAGAGTCCACTGATATGTGTCATAACTAACAGTACTTTCAAGGAAGGGTCAGTCTTGCAATTTGTTCTGGTACCAGATCCAGTAAAGAGTGCTTTTCCTAACTCAACTTTTCTGATATAGGGCATAATAGAAGGAGTGGCTTGTCCTAACTCAACAAGGGCATCTTTAGGCAGTAGCCTCCTACCTGTCCTTGGTGATACCACCCACCACCACCTGGATAAGGGATGAGGCCGGGACCTCACCCTCAGCTCCCTTCCTTAAGGTCCTCAGACTCCAGTAGCCCATCCTCCAACCCTGGATCTGGACACCATTCTTACCTCCCTGGGCCCTTTTGTATCTAGTCCCACTCTCATTGTGAGACCTTCCTTTCTCCCAACCTCTTCCTGCTATGTGCCTACTCAAAGGCACATTCATCAGACAAGGCCATGGTACAATAAGCCACCAGTGGAGAAGAACTCAGGACCTTGCAGGAGGATGCCCTACAAATGACTTTAGACTCTCTGTAATGAGGTTGGGCAGCTTTCCTAATTTTTGGTGCTGATAAGTAGACGTCTGCCTGCCAGAATGGGGCAGACTGAAGTTTTTCATGTTTGATAAATGTCTACAGAGCATGTACCATCCCACCCAAGAGGCTTGGCGGCTTCGCCTGTGGTACCTTTCCCCTCCTGCGTCCAAGTGCTGCTTTTCGAACTCCCAGTTTTTGTTAGGGGCATAATCCCATTCTACCTCTTCAGCAGCGACGTAAAAGGTTCTTATCATCCCATATGGCTGCTCAGACGGGTCCTTGTTGCTGCAGCTGTTGACTTCGTAGATCTGATCCATGCCTTTGTTGAAGTGGTGCATAGTGGAGCAAAACACCCTGAAAATGCCTGAAAAAGAAAAGGCCTGCTGTTGCAGGGGGCTCAGTGCATTGGTGGATATGTCTGGAAAGCTTATGCTTTTTTATCTCAAAAGAAATAACCAGCAAGATGAATATTTTTAAAATAACATTTTTTTAAAATTTTATACTAGTTCATTTACAAAATTTGAATACATTGTTTTCAAGATCAAAGTCTTTAAATTTCCCTCACCCTCCACCCATCAAATTGTACAACTCCATGATTAATTCCCCCCTTTACATGCTCAACAATTTTTATAGCATTTTAAATTCAGACCCCAAAAAGGAAATAAATTACTTGAAATGCTTTTACTTCTGAAAAAAAGAAAATACAATGTGGAATTCTTTTTTTAATAGAAGAACAAATCTCAGAATGTTTCTGGCAAGAACGTATTTCTCCTACATGAAGGATATTACCCCACTTACTTGAACTAGGCAAATGAAAGCGGCCAGAAGGACCCCTGATGGCACAATGAGTAAGCACTTTGTTGCAAACTCAAAAGACCAGAGGCTCAAAGCTATTAGCCACTTTTCAGGAGAAACAGGTGGCAATCTGCTTCCATAAAGATTCCAAACCCAACCCAACCCAACCCAACCCAACCCATTTCCAGGGAGGTCATTCCAACCATAGCAACAACCCACTAGGCTACGGTTGTGAGTCTTTACAGGAAGCCTTGGAAACCCTACAAGGCAGTTTTCTCCCTGTCCTCTAGGGCACTACAGGGAGCTCTGGTGGCCTAGTGGCAAGAAGCTGTGCTGCAATCCTGAAGGCACACGGTTCAAAGACATCAGCTGCTCCTCAGGAGAAGGATGCACAATCTCCTCCCATGCAGTTAACTGCCTCTGAAACTACGGATTGGTTCAAAATCAACAATACACAGTAACGTTATAGGGTGCTACAAGCTGGACTTGCCATCAATGAGTATAGAGACCAAAGCTTACTAGTGGTTACCAGGGATAGGAAGGAGAGAAAAAAAGAGGAATTTGGTTGCATAGAGGATTCTCAGTTTCTATCGGTGATGATGGAAAATGTTGGGAAAAGATAATATCAGTTGTTATGCACTGTAAAAAGCATAATCAGTAACATTGAATTGTATGAGCAAAACTTGAATTGGCCACTGAATCTTTAAATTATATATACCTATTAAAAGATAGCGACTCCTGGAAAAATTGCTGATGCACATGATTAGGCCAGCTCAAGAAGAAAAAATTAGCTGTAAGATTAAGAGTCTAGATAGAGTTCCAATTAGGCCACCCTTTATGAAATCATGCATTTTTCCCAAAGGATTTCATAAACTATAAACTGCCAACACATGTAAGGCATTATTACTTTTAAAGCCAAATATATTACTTCATTAAGCCCTTGAGCAAAAGGTGTTCTGATTCCCAGTGGTAGGTCTACCTTATGCCAGACAAGAATAAAAAGAAATCAGCTAGCTCTTAGATTTACCCACTTACTTCCAACATTTGAATCTGACTGAGAAGTCAAGCATTTTAAACTGAATTTTCCAGATGCATTGACATTGGGGAGATACAGACTACTAGGGCTCACTGTCAGATCATATATAACAAATAGAAGTCTTGGCAGATGTTAACGTTTAATGAAATTATTGGCCCTAAGCAATTTGTTTGGTTTTGAATATGTTTGAAATGATTGGTCCTAACCACTATGTGTCCTAACAAGGAGTCCCTGAGTTAGGCTTACAGTGAATGCATCTCTCTGGTAATTAATAGCTTAGAGACTTGAGTCTGCCCACAAGTTCCTGGGAAGAAAGACCTGGTGATCTATTTCTGCAAATGCCAAGGAGCACAGGTCCACCCTGACACACTTCACACCACCTTGAGATGGAGTTGAGTCAGCAGCAACTGATTACCCTGCTGGTTCCACTTTGTCCTTAGCAGTGAGGGATCTGTGCTCCCAACCACAAAGCACAGAGGGAGCTTCTGTGTCATTTCACAGGTGACAGTACTGACCAAACATTATTACCCAGTCAGTACGAGGAAAAACTGCAGTGCACTGGAGAGCCAAGGACTCCCAGGCCCTGACAGGGACCTTCAGAAGAAAGAGCCTCCATGATATCAGGCTGAACTAAACAAAGACTTGGAAAGTGCTCCCTCCCTCTATCAATGCTGCCTCTTCCCAGGGGAGTTCATTATGCATTCATCATGGTGGTTCCTCACTGGGTAAGCGATTATTTCCTCTGAGGTCAAGGGGGAAATGTTTGAGTGGCAAACTAGTCTAATCTACGGATTTTGCTCATTCTGTGGTTTAGCAATAAGGGAAGGAATAGGCAAAATGACCAACTTTGTAAGCAGTCACAGATTCATGCTTACTGCTCTTTATAAACCAGAAAACGTTATCCCGAAACTCAAAAATATGTGAGAAAAAATAAGTAACAAAATCGCTAAAATTATTTTAGCCAACTCTTCTATTTAGTGTCTGTTTCTATGGATTAAGATAATGTGACATGTTTTCCATTTCCCTCCTTTAAACTTGGGAAATGTATTTAAAGGAAAATGAAACCTTATGTTCAAGGCATTGCTTGCTTTGAGTGACCCATAATTGATCAACTAGACTAAGGTAAGAGCTGGAGTACTAGGACAGATTGTAGGAGCTCCTACATGGTCATTCTTAGACAAAGAGGATCAAGGTCTTCACTGATGAGACTGGAAAGCCTCTAAACCGTAATTTCTAAGTTGAAGCAAAGCAGAAAATCCATTAGTGAAAAAAAGAGAGTGGACAGACTCCTCTCCTTTTGCACAGCCATGCATGCTATGCATATTGTCATGGAGCACTTTCTACTATTTAAAATGCTCTGGCTGACTTTATAAGGAAGGGCCATGGGGCAGGTACTTTTCTGAGCCCTCCAGGGACTCCAAACTCAATGCAATCTACCTTCTGGGGAAACTCGCTGACATTGAGTGGATTCCAACTCATAGTGACTCTGTAGGACAGGACAGAACTCTCCGTAGTGTCTCCAAGGCTATGCTCTCCACAAAAGCGGACTGCCTCATCTCTTTCCTGCAGAGTGCCGGAGGGTGTGGGGTGTGTGTGTTTTCAATCCTCTGAACTTTTTTTGTAGCAGCTGAATGCTTTAACCACAGTATCACCAGGGCTCCTAAAAGGTGCTCAGCAATATGCAAATGGAGAATTGCAAAGCCCCCATTGGCTCCTCAAGACCACTGTCCATCTTCTGAGAAAATCAACCAGGTCAAGTCCATTATGAGGAAGCACCCCTGGGGTTGTATGCCTGGTAGATGCTTCATCATAGCACCTAGGGTGATTCTGTGCTGCACAAGAGCAGTGGGATCTTCTTTCTTGGAGCTGAATTGATTCCAGGCATGAAGCTAGGGTATCTCGCTGGGATTTGTGGGGCAAGGCATTTAGAGGGCTCCCATTTCTGCTCTGCGGATGCTACTGTAAATGATTCTCTTTACACTATGCATCATGTAAAATGTTTAGATGATCCTGGTTAAGACAGCACCCATTTCCATATCCCTCTGACCAGAATAAATCCTAACCAATTTTTTTTAGCTACAACATTTCCTTCTGAAAAAGAATTTTGTTTTCCTTTACAATTTTAAAAATATGCTGCACAAGTGATGTTTCATGCTTTGTTATACATTGGGTTAATGTAATTTCTAGTTCATTTCCAATATGTATATTGCAAAAAAAAACCACCAAAAAAACAAAACCCAAACCAACAAACCCCAATACAATACCGTATACCCAACACCCATACAAACCTCTAAGAAGATATGCCTTAAGACAGGAGTAGAGTCTCGCCCACTTTACCTGCACGGTCTGGCTGCATGAATGCTGTTGTGGAGATGTGGGGGAACAGGGCTAGGGTGTCACGGTGAGTCCCACGGAGGTGGATTGTGTTCCCTTGGAAATAAACTCCGTGCATGTCAGTGTCAGTGCCCATTCCCATCATATGCCAGGAGACTCGATCCTTCTTGCACATTGATAGGCCTGGCTGGTTACCATACATATAGCCATTAATAGCTTAAGTGAAAGGAAAAACATTGTCAGAGCCCACTCGAATCATGCACACATACTGAGAATGTACCATCTTGACCAAAGAAAGAGGTGTCAGTGGGGTGCAAATAAGAAAACTACTTACAGAAGATACTATTATCATCCTATTGTCAAATAAAATGACTTTTTAATGGCTGTGTCTATAAAACCTGTATGTGGGGCCATAGTCATTTTACTTAAATATTTGGAATTCTTAGTAGAAATTCCAAGAAGCCCTGAGGCTGCTTCTGGGTAGAACGCTGTTTCTTCTGGGGAAACAAATTTTGATAATGCTTTTGCAAACAAATTAGTTAAATTTTCATCACAAAAATATTTAATTGGCATCCTTTTAAATCAAGTTGCTAATAAATCTAGTCCTTCTCCTGTCTTGGAACTTTTATCTAAAGTATCTCCTTAAAAATTAATCCATTCAACAAATATCTTTTGATTCTAACTCTGTAATAGATGCAGTGTGCCATGGATTGAATTGTGTCTCCCTAAAATTCACATATGCAATGATTTATCAACACGTCATTGCCATCACCCAACTCATAGCTGACCCTCCATTGGGTTTCCAAGTCTATAAACAATCACATAGGAAGAGATTGTCTGTCTTTCTTCCATAAAGTCACTGGTGGATTTGAATTGCCAAAGAGATTCAATCTTTAGATTAGCAACGTGACTCTTTATAGACTACACCACCAGAGCTCCCCAATGATATTTTAGTTGGAGGTATGTAATGATGTTCCATGATCTGATGAACCAAATAGTTGCAAAAAGATTAAGGGTGGAATGTAACACAGTCCTAATCCTATGCAAAGATAGTTTCTCTAATGCATCCATTCTAATACCTTTTATTTCTTTAGCTGGGGACCGCAGTCCCACGAAGAAATAACTGCCAGGAATAGAGTGCATCCTTTTGGATCCAGATCTCTCTCTTAGCGAGCTCCTTGATCCCAAGGAAGGACAAGAGACATAGAGGTCTCCAAGAAACACCAAGCCTACTACATACATTGAAAGGAACAAGGGCTTTTCTCCAGAACTGAGAGAGCCTGAGGCATTCCTCTAGAACTCACATCCTGAATTTGGACTTCTAGCCTTCTAAAATGTGAGAGAATGAGTTTCTGTTTGTTAAAGCCATCCGCTTGTTGTATCTTTGTTGTAGCAACACTGGATAACTTAGAAACTATGTACCACACAAGGGGCTTACTCTTTGGTACTGTTGCTGTCTTCCTGTTCCTGGTGTCATGTAAGCAAAAAGAAGATAGAACTTAATTTTTAATTAACATGAACTTTGAATTAAGAGAAAATATTTTCCTTAAATTTTAATATTCTACATTTACAGATTACAAAATTAAGTCTAACATTTCCAAGCAAAGCTATAGGTAGATCTGACATGGTCAACTAGGTTATTTAATGTTTTCTGTAGAAAATCTCCTTTAACTGGAGTAATTTAGCTTTTGTATTAAGGAATTGCTATGTTTTCTCATTTCTAGCTTAGCTTGCTTTTTTGTGGGCTACTATTTAATCTGTAAACTGAGCAAATAATTTGAGAAACTGAACTCTGTGAAGAAGAATATGGCATCAGAATAAAAGGAAGACTCGTCAATGATCTGTGTTATGCAGATGATACAACCTTGCTTGCTGAAAGGTTAGGAGGACTTGAAATGCTTCCTGCAGAAGATCAAAGACTATAACCTTCAATACGTCAATATCAAGAAAAAAAGACCCTCACCACTAGGTCAACAGTCAGCATCATAATAGATAAAGAAAAGAAAAATTTTTAACAATGGTACGTTACTTGGATCCACAATCAATATGCTTGGTACCAGTAGTCAAGAAAGCAAAAGATGTATTGCTTTGGGAAAGTCAGCTGTCAGGGACCTCTCCAAAGTACTCAGGAGCAATGATGTCAAGTTAAAGACTAAAATGTGCCTGAGTCAGGCCATGGTCATTTGGAAACTACAGAACAATCTCACTGATTTCACATGCAAGCAAGATTTTACTGAAGATTATCCAAAAACGACTGAAACAGCACATCAACAGAGAACTACCAGAAGTCCAGGCTGGTTTCAGAAGGGGTCGTGGTACTAGAGATATTATAGCTGATGTTAGATGGAT